GCATCATTGTAGATTTGCTGTTCACAGTATTTCTCTCTTTTTTCTTTCTTTTTTTCTCAGTCTCCCTTATTATATTTTCTTCACATACAACAGCAGTACTCCCCATGGTCTTAAATGACCCAGGATGCTGCATAATACAAACACAAAACCAATAAAGCCACCCCCATAATAATAATAATAATAATAATCTTCACTAGTTTGAGGGAAAGAGACAAACGGGAAAAGTCTGAAGAAAAAATTGACTGTCACCACCAGGACTCGAACCAGGGACCCTCGCTTGTAGCTAGCGATGCTCTAACCACTGAGCTATGGTGTAATAATAATAATAATAATAATCGACAAGAAGCGCAACGTACATGTATGGTCCTTGAATAGCAGGTGTGTATATATAACAGCCTCATTGAGCATCTGCCCTTGTTTTTCGGATGCCATTTTATGCCCCTTCTCAAAAGGACCTGATTATGCCAAAAAGTATGCCTTCACTAGCAGGTGTGTATAACAGCCTCATTGAGCATCTGCCCTTGTTTTTCGGATGTCATTTTATGCTCATTCTCAAAAAGGACCTGATTTTGCCAAAAGTTTTGCCGGAATAATCCGCTTACCCCTAGCCATCTCACAAGCTATCATAAAATTAGAGCTTTGAGCTCAGGTATCTGCGTAAGTTGCTTGGCATCAAATACTATCATCATCGCACAAATCAGTCAGTACTGCAGGAAGTCAAAAAATGATATTGGCCCATTCACACGCCTTGATTCAACTTTAAAAGCATATCAAGTTGAAGTGGTTTGGACATGCGGCTAGGCATCATGATAGCTATTTCTTGGATGGAATGGTGCCGGGATCAAGAAAGACCCCGTGGTCACAATCAATTCGGTTCACCAGCATCAAAGACTGATCAATTAATCGTACAATTCTGCCTCTCTCTCTCTCTCTCTCTCTCTCTCTCTCTCTCTCTCTCTCTCTCTCTCTCTCTCTCTCTCTCTCTCTCGTTGCTGCTGATCGTGATAGGTATAGGCAGCTAGTTTATGAGTGCATTTAGATTCTCTTTTTTCTTCTTTTTATTCTTTTGGTGCTGCCGCCTTATGACACAGGTGGAGCCCCTATGGCCAGAATGGTTACGGATTCTACATACATGTACATAAAATGAACCCAATGCTGTAGACATACATTAGGCTATGACAGTAGCCAACATTCTGGTTGTATTTTGGACACAGGTTATATAAATCTCGAATGAACAGAATAAACCGTGATTGCGGCCATGTAACCGAACGACTACACTTAAAAATCGTAAAACGGGGATCACGTGGGATCCCGTACACCTCGTGCGTACTTGGACCTAGCATGGCATGTATGCCAAGTCCATCGATTCTGGCTGGAGAATTAGCAATTCCACCCTCTCTTCAGAATTGAGGGGTGTGATGGAATTGGATTCCGTCAATTCTGACGATGGAATTTGGGTAATCGAACCGTGCATCCACCATAACTAATTCTAGAATTGACCGAAATGTGTGTAATCAAATGCGCCCATAGTCTGCATGGCAGAAACCAAAAAAAGAAAAAAGAAAAACGCCGACCGACCTTGGTACTGATGAGTGAAGTGACCCAAAACAACGAATTAATTCTGGGTGGCCTTATTATTGTAATTATAGTTTCCGTAGAGATAATGCTTTATTATCATATGCCGCCGGGATATTGTAGAAATGACTGTAGAATTGTAGTATTGAAGTACATGTAAAATAAAGATTTATATTATTATTATGATTACTATCATTACGAAGTAGTGGGTGCGACTTCGGCGATGATTATTATCATTATTATGATTATTATTTACAGTACTTAACTTCAGTTTCTTTGGTTGTATCCTTAGTTTTAGTTCCGTATTTTTCCCACTGATGATAGGAACAAGAAAATCGATTCTGGGTTTTCAATGATTAATATTATTATGATTATAATGTATACACACCATGTAGTCTACCATGTACCGTGTATACGCACGTAGCAAGAGAAGCACGCAAATCTGCAAATGCACCAGATGTGCACCCACATGTTTTCTCTTATAGCAACGATAGCGGACAATATCTGAATGAGACAGATCAAGACTAGCGCCAGATAACTGACCAATCCACACAACCTGCAAAGCCATGTGAATCGACCACCAATGCACACCTGGTCTACACCACATGGAGTACATTGGCACACAACAGCCAAGACAGTTACCTATGCCTGAGTACTGGGAACCAAGAGCCAACGGACATACCAACAACCTCAGCCACACGCAGACAGACAGTACAATGAATTATGTAGTTTTGACGTGACTGGCCGTCTTGAGCAGACCTGTACCCTGGTATTGCACTACTGCCTGTACTAGTAATGTTTGCCCGGGTTTCGTGCAAACCAGTGCTCATACAAGGGACTGGCTGTAGTGACTGCCTGCAGCGCATCACCTGGCGGCTGCTTTCCTAAAGCACGACGTTATTATTACAAACGCAATTCTCCAAACTTCCATGGGCTCCATACGTACAATTACAACACACTGAATAAAATATCCCCGCATCCCAAAGCTTTCTAAAGGATCAGTTACAAAGCATAAAAAATAACGCTCGCAAAATCGTTTATATTATAAAGAGTTTGCGAGCATTGTGCGAGCATCCATGGAAGCATAATTCCACAATTTCGCAATCATAATTCGCCGTAGTCCACAGGTCGAACGAAGTGTCAAAATGCTGTGAAGGAAAAAACACCCAAATGTGTATGAATCTATATGAAAACTGGACCCAAAAAGTCAGCGCTGTCATGATGGGCTAGCTGCAACATAGCACTCTTGAGTCCAATAATATGGAAATAAATTAAAGTAAGAAAAGGACCAAGGAACTACGCGTTACGTTATAATGTGCACTACCATCAGTTACCTGACACTCAGCTCATGCGATAACATTGAACGACGGTACTGACGTTCTACTTCGAAGTACAAATAACTGGCTATCAGCTATAGCCCGTCTTGGATGCGCACTCCAACAGACGGAATCTGGGTCTGAGAGTCGAAACTAAAATTAAGCTTTCGCCAAAGTATGACAGAAAGGCAGAGATGTCAAAACGTTTTCAGTGATTTGATGGATACCATAGGCTCACATACTTCGAACCTGTCCATTGGCATGTGCAAACAGTGATGCAACACTCCCACTGCTGCTCGGTGTGTGGAAAAAAGGAAGAAAAACAACATCTTTCTTGCTAAGGTGCTCACTTTGCGAAGTGCACTGCATCCTGTTTACTGCTGCTTACTGCTGCTTACTGCTGCTGAAGACTGAGCCGCTCTGACTCATCTTTGGCATTGCTGCTGTGAGCAGTCTGCCCACTAGTTTTCAAACGAATACAGTCACTGCCTGGTGCAGCAGATGCGGTGTTTGCTGCTACCATGGCCACTGTTGTTGCTGCCATGGCATCTGTTGCAGTGGTTGCTGCCATGGCATCTGCTCTTGCCGCTGTGTCTGCTGCAGTGTTAGCTGCAATGGCAACTGCTCTTCCTGCCGAGTCTGTTGCAGTGATAGCTATGGCTGGCTCAGCTGCTGTATCTGCTGGTTCTGATAAATCTGCTGGGCTAGCTACTAGGCGGCCATCACCATGATCACAGGCAATATTGCACGAGCAGAATCCATATCCCTGAAACCCTCAAAGGTCTATAGTCACAATGCAGGACAGCTGCTGCATCCATCAATACAGGTCTACCGGCTGCATGGACTGGATCACGTGATATATGAGCCCCAGCCAGCAGAAACCTGAACATGTGTAATTTTTTCAAAAATTATTTTTTCCCTCCAAATTGTTTCTACACTATTAATCATTCAAGTTATCAAGTTTGATGACAATCTGATAAGCGAAAGCATGGAAAATAGAGTTTGAAGTCACACAGGTCAAGATTCCGTACA